GAGAAGAACAAGACTCATTTCTCCCCGTTACTTTCCCAGATGATCGTCACCGGATTGAGGAGAAGCGCAAAAGGACATATGAGACCTTCAAGAGCATCATGAAGAAGAGTCCTTTCAATGGTGAGGTGGGGATGGGGAGAGTTAGAAGGCATGGGTGGGGAGTGGAGACCCCGGGGGCCAAGAACTGAGCCAGACTTGCTCCACAGGACCCACCGACCCCCGGCCTCCTCCCCGGCGCATTGCCGTGCCTTCCCGCAGCTCAGCTTCCGTCCCTAAGCCAGGTAACGATTTCCTATTGTCTGTTCAGCCTGTGGCTCACACATCCGCTGGGAGAGAACAGAGCAGTCAGCCTCATCCGCAGGTGTCTGACGACTGCTGTGTGCTGGGCTCATGTTTCTCAGGGCGTGCAGCCTAATTATCTCTGCCAGAGCCACCTGGGAGTGGTAATGATGCAGACTCCCGGGCCCGTTGCACATCTGGAATCAAGCTTTGGAAGTGTGGTCAGGAACCAGCTACTTCCTGGGGACACTAATGCACAGTGAGATCTGAGAACCACTGTGCCCGTTAGAAACTCCACATTGGATACCTAGGGATCCAGAGTTAAAAAGCACCGTCTCTGCCTTCAGCTCTCAGTTGAACTGGGGAAACAAAGAAACACGTCTAAAGTAGCAAAATGTACGTGCTGGTGTGTGGCTCAGAAAAGAGTGATGTAGTGCCCGCTGCAGACAACACTGGCCGGATACTCCTTGGGCCCATGCCCTCCTGGGACTTGGCCTTTCAGCTCTGAGATGACATTTTACCAGCCGACCTCTGAAAGCATCCCTTCCTCTAAAAGGCGGGGAGAGCTTTCTGGGCTGGAGTGAATAGAGCTCCACGGAGGTGGGGCTGGACCTGGACCCCCAGCCTGGTCAGACTGGGTAAAGGGTGCTGGCAGGGACTCCACAGGGAGGGGTTGGTCCTGTGCATACTGATGGGCTGGGATATAGAGGACGGGGTGGGTCTCAGGCTTGCACTGACCCTTGTGTCTCTGTCTCTCTTCCAGCTCCCCAGCCCTATCCCTTTACGCCATCCCTCAGCACCATCAACTTTGAGGAGTTTTCCCCCATGGTCTTTTCTTCTGGGCAGATCCCAAACCAGCCCTCAGGCTTGGCACCAGCCCTTGTCTCAGCCATGGCACCAGCTCTGGTTCAGGGCCCAGCCCCAGCCCCTGTCCCAGTCATAGCCTCAGCCTCCAGCCTTGCTCAGGCTGTGGCCCCGCCTGCCCCCAAGCCCACCCAGGCAGGGGAAGGAACACTGACGGAGGCCCTGCTACATCTGCAGTTTGATGCTGATGAAGACCTGGGGGCCCTGCTGGGCAATAATACTGACCCAGCCGTGTTCACGGACCTGGCCTCCGTCGACAACTCTGAGTTTCAGCAGATGCTGAACCAGGGTGTCTCTATGGCTCCCCACACAGCGGAGCCCATGCTGATGGAGTACCCTGAGGCTATAACACGCCTGGTGACAGGGTCCCAGAATCCCCCTGACCCAGCTCCTGCTCCCCTGGGGGCCGCTGGCCTCGCCAACGGCCTCCTCTCAGGGGATGAAGACTTTTCCTCCATCGCAGACATGGACTTCTCAGCCCTACTGAGTCAAATCAGCTCCTAAGTGGGTGACCCCTGCCTTGCCCAGAGCACTGGGTTGCAGGAGATTGAAGCCCTCCCAAAGCAAGCACTTATGGATTCTGGGGGGAGGGGTGCTCCAACTGCCCCCAACTTCTCTGGGTGATGATGTGTTTGTGGTGGTGGGGGGTTGCATTTTATTCTTTCATTGGCCATATCTGTCTCTCATTTCGGAGGTGCTTAAGCAGAAGCATTAACTTCTCTGGAAATGGAGTTGGGAGGATTCAGACCCTTCCCTTGTCCTGATGTTCAGCTCCTCTGTAGGGAATTCTGGAGGCTCCACCCCACCCTCCAGCTTCTAGTACCTCCCAGAGAGGGACAGGCTGGAGCTATGGCCTTGGAGGCCACAAAGCCTTAATCAAGTGTCTTCCTCAAACCATGGGTTCATTTACACTTGAGCCAAAATGATGCCCCTGTGACCAGCTCTTCGGTGGTGCTGGCATTTCCCTTGTGCCTAACACCAGCATTTGAGAGGCTGGACTTCCTGCCCTGCCAAGGTCTCTGCCGGCTCTGGCTTCGCTCAGCTGTGGCTGAGGAGACTGATGGGACAGCTCTGGCCCTCTCCTCTCCATATCCAGGGAGGTTAGGTCTGAGACTTTTCTGTTCCCCTTTTTCAAGTGCCTTAATAGAAGGGCGGGTTGTTTGGAGAGTGGGGGGGAGGGCAGGCTGGCAGCTCTCCAGTCAACAGGCTCAATTTTTACTGAAGAATCAAAGCAGTTGGACTCTTGCTCATACTCTGAACTAATAAATTTGTTGCCAAGGCTAACAGATTTGCCTTCTTTAATCACACTCCTTGCTGGTCACGTCAGACGGGCCTCGGATGAATATTTAGTCATTGGGGAGCTCGCAGTCTGAGGACGCCCTTGGAAACCCTAGTCGCTGTCCAGTGGGTGAAAGCAGACGCTAAGGGGTGGGGTTCCCAGGGTAGTGAAGGCCTGCAGCGCCTATTGGCTGTGGAGCTTCAGCTCGTAGATAAACAGGGATGTCAGAGGGGCCAGCCAGCGTTTGTAAAAACAAGAATGCTGACCGAGGTTTGGACTTCATCTTTTGGGTGGACAAGGGGGAGAGTGTATCTGTGGGGGAATTAAGTGCCAGGTAAGGTCTGTGGTTTGATATCTTGTTCTGCTAGGACCAAGGACCTAAGAAATCTCAACCCGGCAGCTCCACAGGCCTAAAAGCCAGGCCACGACCCGCAGGGCTGGAACAGAGGCATTTCCGGTTCTGCCTGAAGCATGCGCAGTAGAACAGGATTCCGGCGCACTAGGCCCGGCCTTAATGAGTGCGCATGCGCACATGTATTGTGTGCCAGGAAACCAGGTAACGCGCTCGGGGAAAACCCCTGCCCTGTAGCAGATGACGTCTGTGTTCCGGGTTTTGCACTGTTGCAGGCGGGTGAAGGCAGGGGCAAGCGATTTATCAGTGGGACTTGCTGCACCAGCTAGCGAGCCCCGTGGGAACACGGTAGACTGGGTGCAGGGGCGGCGGAATGTTGTGAAACCGGAAAACGTCTGTAGCGTGGACCTCGCTGCAGCCTCTTGGTCAGGGGGCGGGGTCAGCGGCGGGGCCTGAAACAGGGTGAGCTCCTGGGGGGTTGGCAGCAGCGGCACTTCCGTGCGAGGGGCGGAGCCTGACCGTAGTGGCCGGGTCAAGACCCGGCGAACCTGCCGGGCAGCCCTCGGGGAGGCGGGGCTTGAGAGAGCCATGTCCTGGGCCGCCGGGGGCGGGGTCTTGTCTGGTGAGACGCCTAACCCTAGCCCTGACCCGAGGAAGCGGATAGCGGGCAGGGAAACGTGGCCAACCTGAGGCATAGAGGGGCACTCCTGCCACGCCTCGCTTCGCTCTTGGCATTCCCAGCGTCCGGCAGTGTCCTCCCGTGACCCCGGAAACCCTCTAACGGCCCTTCCCACACTTCCTGAGTGACCTCATCCTGCTCAGGGCGCACCGGCCCCAAATTCTTGTCTCCAGCCCAGACCTCTCTCTCCTGCATGCCAGTCCACTGGACGTCTCACACCGGCGTCCCTCTCCAAAGAGCCATTTCAAATGACCAGAGCCCTCCCCAGCCTACTCTCCCCATCTCAGCTCTGCCCGGTCCTCCTCCAGGGCTACCACTGTGGACGTTGCATTTTCTCCCCAAGCCAGGTCCTGGCAAGTCTGCCTCCTTCTCGCATCTCCACCCCTAGCACGCCTCGTTAGGCTTCCACTACCTCCCACCAGGGCTGCTGCTACAGCCTCCTCCCTGGCGTTGCTTTCCCTGCAGCCAAATCTCACTTCGTTAGTCTCATTTTGAACATCTATCAACGACATGACGAGATCTGTTTTCTGCAGACACACACCCAGAGAGCGACCAGAGCCTTCCACACTGGCCGTGAGGGCTGCTCAGCATAGCCCAGAGCAGGCAGAAGCTGGACGTGTTGGGAACTTAGTCCGGGACCCCTAGTGCACCCTTCACAGCCCTTTCTGAGTCAGCTCCAGCCTCTTGCCCTGAGGCCGGTCCAGCAGTCCCCAGACTGGTGCTGCCCAGAATGCCTTCCACCCAACCTTCAAAACCCAGCCCTCACGACCTTCCCCATGAAGCCCGACACGCTGAGGCTGTGACTCAAAGCCCAGTGCAGCCAGCCAGAGCCCGAGTTAACGGTGAGCCCAGCCAGCCTGCAGGAGCGGGGCAGGCATTGACGCTGGCGAGTCGGTGCCCTGTTGGGACCTCAGATCCAGAAAACGGGTTTAGATGCAATTCAGGTTTGGATCTGCTCATGGGAAAGGGCCTGGCCTGGTGAGTGGTCATAGGCTGGTGAGGAGAAAAGTAGGTCAAGGACTGATTTCCTCCAGGCAACTGAGGCACAGACACCGCCACTCTGGAACTGGGCCCTGTGCCATCTGGCCCTTCGGGAGGGCGAGTAGGGAGTGCCAGGCTTGGGAGCTCGGTGCCTAGAGAGGAAAGGGGGGGCTGCGCGGGGGCGGGGAGGGCCTTGCAAGCTGAAAAGGGGGTGGTCAGGGTCCTTGACCCCTAAACTCCATCTCTTCCCTGTCCTGCTGACCCACCCTCTGCCCCTGATCTCAGCCCCTCAGGTTTGGTTCCAGGGCAGGGACCTGGCTGGGCCTAGTTTGGACAACCAAGCAGAACAGGTGTGGGTGTGGCCGCCTGCTTCCCCACAGACCAGATGAATGTTTGTGGAAGAGAAGCCAAAGGGAGGCCGAGCATCAGAGACCCTCAGTGAGTGCCAGCCCAGCCCTGGGCCCATGTCCCCTGGGCCTGCCTTTCTGACAGGTCCTGGGAGCTGGGCTGGGGTCTCTGAGGGCAGAACCCCTTCCCCTGTCATGAACATCAAGCACAAACAGACACAAATTGCAGTGGCTTCTTTAATCCCTGAAGTCCCCTTTTCTCACAGAATATTTACACACAGGATGGGGCAGGGAAACTTCGCCACCAGTAATGGGCTGGGGAGTGGGGGCAGTGCCAAGACGCGCCTCTGCGCAGGGAGAGTTCCTGAGGGGGCCCCGGGCCCTGAGGGACCTGGGCAGTTCTGAGCAGGTGCACAGCCGGGCTAAGGCCGGACCAGGCGGCTCAGGCCAAGTCCGTGGCAGGTGAGCCCAGGTGCTGGGAGGCCAGGAGCAGGCGGTTGTTGTTCCGCAGGTTGCGAACCTCCTCCTCCAGGGCTGCTCGGTCTGCCTTCTCCTGGGGGTGGGGGGAGGGGGGGGCAGCAGGAGTCAGAATGGTGGGTCCCTCCCCTGCGGCAGCCCTGCGACTCCCCTGCAAACCCCAGCCACCCTGTCACCTTCTGCAGGTCCTCCTGCAGCTTCCTGAGCAGGGACTCCAGGTGAGAGACCTTCTCTGACAAGCTCCTTGGTTCTGGCCTGAGGACATGGGGGTCAAGGCTCAGCTGGGCTGAGGCAGCGGTCAGTACCACAACTGGCCCCCGACCCACCGGAGAGGCCCCCCAGTCTTCTCAGACATATGTATGTGCTTAAGGCCGCTGAATGGGCACAGATGATGGTCGCACAGACACAGTGAAGGGAATAGGTCAGGGTGGGGAGCCTTACTCAGCATCAGATTTGGGGGCTCCCCTGGTATCTCCACTCTCTGGGATGGGCTGTCCTGTGGGGAAAGAGGAACAGCGGATTGGTAAAGGAAGGAAGAGCCGCCTCCTGGCTGCTCCCCACGGCACTCACCCTCGGTGGCCTCACCCTCCCGGGACAGCGACTCCAGGATGGTGTTGCAAGTGGAGGCGATTTCCGAGATGGACTGCCACTCGTCTTCCAGAGTCTCCATGCCCGCCTCTGACATGACTGGGCACAAGGCGGTGGGCTCAGCCAGGGAAGCCCCGGCCAGCCTGCCCACGGCCCACGGCCCACGGCCCACCTCCGACCCTGTACTCCACCTTGCGCCAGACTCACTTTTGCTGATGGAGTTTCGAAGAGACAAGGTTCGTGGCAGGAAGGAGGCCCTCATCTCTGGGGCTGGGTCGCCGCTGTCCTCACCGCCACTGGGGCTGGCTGGCCCCTCCTGAGGGCGGAAATGGGTATGGGTGCCGTGATGCCCACCATCACCGCCGTGCCCACCCCTGCTGGTAGGGCTCCAGAGCCTGGTTTCTGCTCACCTGGGTGGGGGGTGTCTCCCTGCCAGCACCAGGAGGTGACGGCTTGGCCGTGGTTGCCAGGAGGAGGTCTGGGGTGGTGTTGGGCAGGACTGGGGCCTCATCGGACAGGGAGCTGGGGAGAGCAAGGAGAGCTCAGCACTGCACCGTGGCCCTTGCTTGCAGAGGCCGCCTGTGCAGTCTCACTGGGCTGCAAGAGAGCGAGGGCGAGAGGGTGCACCTGCAGGGCGATGGCGAGTTCTGGCTGCGCAGGAACTCGGTCCGCTCCTCGGCTAGGTCCCCAGGCCCCGGAGGACCGCTGCCCTCGCTAAGGCACGCGTGCAGCAGCTGCTTCGTGGAGGGCATCAGGGCCACCTCAGGGGCCTCTTCCTGCACCGGCTCTGGGGCCCCGCGCCGGCTGGGCTCCTGCAGGGACAGCCTGTACAGCTCCGAGAAGCTCCTGGGGGAGGAGGGAGCAGCTTCAGGTAGGAAGGCCCCGTCCCCAGCTTCCTGCACACCCCGCCCCACCCCCAGCTGTCGAGTCTCACTTCCAGGAGGAGAGCTCTCCACACTCCCTAACACTGAAAAAACGTTCGTCTGGCTACTGGCCGCTTTTCCAGACTTTAATCCAAATCGCAGTGCTGCCCTGTGTGTCCTAGGCACATCACTGTCCATTTCTCCGCCTGTGAAATGAGGCAACAGTCCTGACCTCATACCTTCCTGTGAGGGTTTAAATGACTCAGGTGCATGCCCGGCTGGTGTTGCTCAGTGGGTGAGCCTCGACCAATGAACCAGGAGGTCACGGTTGGACTTCCGTCAGGGCACATCTCTGATTACCGGCTCTATCCCCAGTGCCGGGCGTGCAGGAGGCAGCCGGCCCATGATTCTCCCTCATCACTGATGTTTCTATCTCTCCCTCCCTCTCTGAAATCAATAAAAATATATTTTAAAAAGATGACACAGGTGAGTCATTTAGCATAGAGATCCAAAAGCTACTGCTTGGGGACCAAATCCAGCCTCTGCCTTTTCTGCCCGTTTCTTAACGAACGCAAGCTGAGAAAAGCTGAAAGGAGTCAGAACATTTCATGACACGAGAAACTCATAAAACTCAAAGGTCAGTGTCTGTAAAGCTTCAACAGAACTCGGCACACGCGTGGCTTCACCCTGCCCGTGAGGACAGGGCTGCGCGGAGACGGGCCTGGGGTTTCTCCCGAGGGACGGGCCCTCACCAGCTGCTGGCCACGCAGGAG